TTTAATATTAAAATTCTAGATAATAAATATTTTACATTTTCAAAAATTTGATCATTAGAAAAATAATTAACGATTTTATTATTATGAACAATTGTCTATCGTCATTAGATAATAACCATTTGATTTGATTATTATTATTATTATTATATTATTATTATTATTATTATTATTATTAAAAAAATAATTATTTATAAGATTCTAAAGTTGTTTGACTATGCTATTAAAACAATTTATTAATTATTTTTTAAAGAAAAATTTTCATGAAAAAGATAATATTGATGTTAAAATAAATAACTTGAAACAATTATTTTTTATTATGTAATTTATATTTATTGTGACTTATTATTAGTCGGTATTATCAATAATTTTTATATAATATAATAGACAAATACATGATTACACTCAATATGATGTATTAATTTGAGAAGTAAAAAATATTAATGATAAATTTTGTAACCGAAAATGGAGGAAAAATTTGAGAGGTTTTATTAAATAGGTAAAATTAAATACTACATGCTAGCAATTATATATATATATGGTATATTCAAATTTACTTATATCTATTACTATGATATTGAGTTAAAACTCGACAATTAAACACGAATGCTACTTTAGTTATAGGAATATTTATCTAAATAAGCACAAACCTCTGGCATTGATGACGCTATTAGTCAATAGCTTTTAAATATTTGTTTATAAGAACAGACTTTCTTTTCTATCAACCTTATATGTCAAAAGAACAAAACCACACAAAATCAACTACAAGTCAAATTTATTTGAACAAAAAAATTATATTCTTTTTATCTACCAAATATTGCACTTGTCTTATTTAACTACATAAATGTATATGTTGAGTTTATATCAAATTTGATTAGCTTATAAGTTTTCATTATACAAATAACGATTTTTGTTTTGTAGGATGAACTCTTTTAAGAAACTCTCATCTCATAAGTTTCTTTGAGAATATTTCCAAATAAGTTCATTGGAATTTTAATTTCAACTGATTTATCAACTAATTTTCACCAAACACTAATATCATATAAATTAGTTTTTCAATTATAAATCATAAACACTATAGCCTCAAAATACACTTATAAGCTATAAACTAACTTATTAATTATGTTACCAAACTTAATATAAGTAAAAAATGATAGTGCAAGTTCAACCAATGAAAAATTTAAGCTTAATCCCACAATAAAAAATAAAAATAAATTATCACTTAATTGGTGAGTTAGTGAGAGAAACACAAATTAAGGAGGTGGGTAGGGAGAGAGAAAAGGCACTTGTTGACAAATCCAGCAAGAGATTGGGGGAGACAGAGCACACAAGCGACACGTGGAATGTGGGCCCATGCCCATTTTTAGCCACAAGAAACCCACCACCAAAAAAGATCCTCATATCACCTTCTGGAGGTTTCCATCACAATTTCTTTTATTAGAATTTATTACACAGACGTCAAAAGATTGAATTTTTATTACAATATTTTGTGTGTCTGTGGAATAAAATCTATATCTATATTAAAGCAGAGCAGCTGGAATTTTCCCGCTCAAATCTGCTGCATTAATTACTGTACTAATGGTAAGATAATTTACTTTCACAGTATTTGAGATATTGTCTTAACATTTATTGTACTGTAGTTTAATTAACTTTAATCTTTATATATTAATTGCAATCTTAGGAATTTGTGAATACACATTAAAACAATATATGCAAAAAAAAAGTTTGTTACAAATAAATGTTTAAATGTTATTCTTAATTATGCATTGGAAAAGTGCACTTCAATTTTCATGGATAAATAATTGGCTTCAACTATATCTATTACTTAACATTTTGTTAACTTCTATGAATTATTTATCATACATACAATAAATGTAATTATTTGTTACAATTAGAGACTTATTTTATACTCCCTCCTATTCAAAATAAATGTCGTTTTGACTTTTTTGATTCATCCATTTTGCTATGTATCTAGACATAAATATGTCTAGATACATAGCAAAATGAATGAATCAAA